CTCCATTCTGGTTTTCCATCGTGGTTGTACTAGTATACATTCCCTCAAATATGGGGTTATAGGCCATTTAAATTTAAATCAAATAAATCATTTGGTAAAACCTATTCTCTTATTTTTGGTGCTCTGCCTCATCTATTCTTTGCTTTTGTTTCCCCCTCTGTTTTTGTCTCCTTTGGAACTATTTTTTTTTCCATCTTATATGCTTTATTGGGTTACCAGTTACTAATCTTTTATCTGTTATTTTACTAGGTTACTTAGGAAAGTTCTGTATGGGAGAGGGTCTTATATCATGCTTATACACTTAGGTATATTATGCCCAAGGTAACACAGTCTTATTTTCACTTAATATTGTACCATTTACTACAGTGACACTTCATCATTTTACATATAGTACTTCTACTTCTTCAGCTTTGGATAGTTTTGTGTATTTCTAAGGATTATGAGATGATAAACCAATGAATAAGACGTGGATATTCCAGTTCTTCATAATTTCAATTCTACGGGCGCTTTAGATGAGCAAATTACAAATTACATCTTGAGACACAGTAAACATTTATTGAATGGTGCAAGATATACCTGCAGGATGCTCCAAGGACACAGAATGGTTAAGCCTCATATATTGTGTGGAGCAGAAGCCTTGTGCAGTCTGGATAAGGCAACCCATGAACAGAATCTCAAAGAAAAAGTGAAGGTAAGAATGTAAGGGAAGATGATTCCAAGATGAAAGAAATGCATGTGCTGCAGAGAAGGGACTTTGAAAGAGGCCATAGAATTGCCAGCCTTTAGAGGGGGAAGAGGGAGGCTGCAGATGGCAGGAGTGCTAGGCAGAGCCATCTCTTATACAAGAAAGATCTCAGTATTCCCTTAGAAAGATAACCCCTGTGAGCTTCAGCAAATGTTATTGTTAACACTAAGATGTCATATTGTGATCTGAGTAACAACGTTAGACCCACAGTTGGCAGTGAATGAAGACAAGAATAAGGAATAGAAAGTTAAAAAAGGAACATTTTGCTGATCTCACCATCTTTAAGTCTACAAAGGATAAAGTGCTATATAAGACAGTTCAAACCGTCTTCTGCTGAAACCCCAGTCTTTATTTTAAAAGTTTAAGATCGTCATCCATTTCTTGCATCAATTTTAATCTCATTTAATGTATATTTCATTAAACCAGCATTTATATTAATCAGAACCTGAAATTTGCCACATGAGCTAATTTTTCATGTCTTTCTCAGAATAGTTCTCCTTGTGAAGAAGGTTAGAACTAAGTCTATGAAATTAACTTCTACTCTAAGAAATGTTTAGAAATTTCTTTAAGTTGTATGTATTAGTCATTCATGATGGTGTGAATCCAGCACTGATATAAAACCTAGGGGTATTCTAAGCAATAATGTAATCATGGTGATAAGTCTAGTATTTGCTTTTGAGTTCCCAAGAAAGAAATCAGGTGATTATTCTAGTAATACCTAAATTTCTAATTTGGTTAATTACTCATTGACTGTTCACAACTATATATGCCTGAATGTAACATCAACATGAGATGTTGTTTTCTTTGCTGGGCTATTTCCAGACAAGTTTATTATGTCAAGTAAAAATGATAATTTATCATTGAATCCCAAGCCATAAAATACCAACTCCTAGAAACATTTTTTTCTTTCTAATTAGTCCTTTAATACAAGATTACCATGTCTGATGCAGTGTGATGTGCATATCACGTAATAAATATTGACTAAATGACAGAGTAGTCTAATAGTCCAGAGCATTTGGCAGAAATTTATGTGTACATTTAAGACATCCATTTATTAAAGGCAGCAACTAAAGAAGACTTAGTTTGGCTAAAGGCTTCAGTGAATGCTTCACATTGTAATTTTCAGTCATTTCCAGCTCCCAGCTTTCAAAACCAAATAGAAAGTGCTGCAGGAAGAACCGATGAGATTTCCACACCCATGCCAAGGTTGAGGGCTCTCTCTGGGCAGTAGTCAGAAGCAATCCTCAAGAGACTGTGGTTTTAGGGTGGAATGTTGAACACCTCTTTGTAGTTAGGGGTTGTACCAAAGAAAAACCATGTTAACAGTAATGTTCTGGTCACACACAGTAGCAATGTGAAAATAACTCAGAATGAAGATAACACTGGGCACATTTCTAAGTATCTAGAGACTTAGTATCTAAGGATACATTTTTTGGTATAAGGAAGGTGAAAAATACAGCTGTAGTAGCCAAAAATGTTCCATGTAGTATATTATGTGCTAAATGAGAAAATGCAAGAACTGAATACCTAGTGAGCATTTAATAAATATGATGCATATGTGCTTGGGCCTCCAAGAGTTAGAGCCATGAACTCTTTTATAAAAATTTTACTTTATTATGTGTTTGCAGTACCTAATGTTTATATTCCTTGTGTGGAGTTGGTACAGGTACAGAACACAATTCTTTTTTTCATCCCATTTTCCTTCCTTCCTTTCATCTCTTGATCCCCTTCCTATTTGAGAAATATCTGTTTTCCTACTTCCTATTATCTATCTTTTATTTTGCTCTTTATTTTTAATTTGGGTTTTTCATGTAAGAGAACCCTTGCTATATTTAAGCTGTGTGTCTGATTTATTTCACTTAACATTATGGTCTCAAGGTGTAACCATTTTCCTACAGATGACTCAAGTTTATCCTTCTTTATGGCAGAGTAGTACTCCATTGTGTGTAAATACCACATTTTCTTTATCTGTTCATCTGTTTGTGAACATACAGGCTTCTAAACTTTAGGTATTATGAATTGTAGTGCCATAAATATAGGTATATATGTAGCATTGTAATATGATGTCTTGAACTCTTTTGGGAAGATATCTAGAAGGGGAATATCTGGGTCAAGTGGAATTTCTATTTTTAGTTTTTTTGAGGAATCTCCATTCTAGATTTCCATAGTAGTTGTACTAGTTTACATTTCTCCAACAATATAGAAGCCATGAACTCTTCAGTGAGCCAGATCTGTATGTATGCCATGCTTTCTTCAACTTTTTCACAATTTAGAAATTAATAGAAAATTAATTTTTTCCCTCTCCTTTCCTATACAGTCCACACCAATGCCAGGGGGAATGCATTCCGTTTTAAGCCACAGCATGGTAAAGAATACTTGCTAGAGAGCCTCAATGTCATGGATGGGTTGTAACCCAAAGCTTACTAATGGCACTATTTTGAAACACCATAGTCCGCAGAAGCTTGCTTAGCTCGTGTTATAGCTGAACATAGCATCAGTTGCATCAACCTACCTCCATGTACACAGCATGTAACAAAGATCCCCAGGGGAAGTGCACTTGCCTGTCCTCTGGAAAGCTAGGACTACATCTTGGCCTCCCTTTAGTAATGATAGACTCTCCACTGAGACATTCTGGGTAGAGGGACCCATAGCTGGATCAGAGTGGCTGTTCCTTGGATGTGGAGTAGTTGAGGTTTCTGCCTTCCTACCACCTTGCAGGATGCTCCTCACCAAGGGCTGGCTGCCTGTAATATCCCCTTTCTTTTCTCTCAGGGGGATACAGTGACTGCCCTCACTTCTTGTGCTGGGATTCCATACACTCCATCCAGCAGCTTCTCTTTCCGTAGTTCAAAATAGCAGCAAACAGCATTTCTTCTTTCTTCTTTGGAAGAAGGCAAAGGTACCAAAGACAGAGTGTAAGATCTACTAATATTTCAGAAAAAAGCTTATATTCCATGAACCTTCTGCACTTTGGTTATAGAAACAGGAACATGACGTGAGGAGCAGGGGAAAAAATGCACAGAGATTTTCAGGACCCATGGCAGGTTGTAGACTTCTAGCTTTGGTCAGAACCAGCTTGCCTGCCACTGGAGCCCTGGTGTCAGAGACAGAGTTATCAGATAGGGTTAAATAAATAAATCCAGACTGAGATCAATACTGGGCAATTATTTGCATCTTTTGTAGAACAAAAGCTGAGAAAAAGTAAAGCCACCCCAGCTGGTATTCTGAGAGATGGGAAGGAAACATGGTCCTTGTGAGGTGTTTAAGAGCAAGAATCTCTCCTGGAGACCAGAGTTTGGGGTCTGACTGCTCTAGAGACCTAAGGTGGGTCCCTCTGCCTCATGTGTACAGGGAACATGCACACAGAGCAGACTTGCCAGTGTGACAGCTCGCGTGGCCCAGCTATGGTTTGTATGCATGGAGGACAGCAGTGCCTGCGTCCTAGACACAGGTGATTGTCTGGAGCTGGTGTTTCAACAATATGTGATGCCTTTTTCTGATACAAAAACCTTCTTTACCAGAAAAAAAAAAAAAAACTTAATAGAGTACTTCAGAGATCAATTGTATTCCTCTCCTTTTTTGACTGTAAGTTCATGTTCAAATGGTAAGACAACTTCTGTTTTCTTCTGGTTCCTAGTGTGATCAGAGAGATAATTTGTATCTGCAGGCATGGCAACTGATGAGGGAGCTCCTGGTAGATAACTTCGATAGCCTTGGGATAGACAGAAAAACACACAGAGTGGTAAGTTAACACAGTGGAGAGGCTAGGGAAAAGAATAAACAGAGAAGACTCCCACCTGAATTTATTTTGAAGGACAGTGAGGAGTTGACCCATATCAGGGAAGTTAAGATAGAAAAAGGAGAGGCCAGGCAACGGGTACAGTGTGATTCTTTTTGCTACTACTGTGCAGTATGAGATTGGGCAGCTGCATATTGTCTCACAGGTCTGGCATGTCAGCGAGGCATCAAAGAAAAACGAGACATTGGCAGAGGCCAGAGGAAGCTACAAAGATAAATCTGAGAAAGACAGCTTTCATATTTCATCATTTCTCTTTCAGATCCTTCTTAAAGTTGAGGTACTTTTGTTGTTGTTCAGATTGCTAAACAGAACCTCAATTTTATTCAAAATTACAAGGTTTGAAAACTTCCAACTAGATTAGTTTATACAGAGAATCCATTGAGTCAGATCAGACTGTCCTCAACTCCCATACTATAGATTAATTATAAAGGACTGGCTTTCTTTGCTGTTTTTCAGGTACCATGATCAGCAGGATGTTACTAGCAACTTTCTTGGAGCAATGTGGTTGATTTCAATAACATTTCTGTCCATTGGTTATGGTGACATGGTACCTAACACATACTGTGGGAAAGGCGTCTGCTTGCTCACAGGAATTATGGTAAGTGTCCTTTTCTTTTTGTCTCTTTTATTTATACTTGAGAAGGCACTTAAACCAGTCAGTCCATGGGCATCCATCACTGTGAGTTACTCCTACTCCCAACCGCAGGAAACAGTGTAAATAAAACAATTTGGTCTGGAGAGACAGTGTGTGTACCAATCATTTTCCTCTGAATCCTTCTTGTTGTGAAGTCCTTTTGAAGACCTAGAGCCACTGGGCTGTCTTGTGCACTGTGCAGTGACTTGATAAGCTACATTTGATCTTAGAGCTGCGGCTTTTGAGAGTCAGGCAGTTCCTTACATCTGGTTTCTGCCTTTTTCCTTTCGTTGTGTTAGCTCAAGTCAATTTCTCTGATCTCACTTTCCTCAAAATACGAATCGTATTCATTATCTGGAAGTATGTTGAAAGGTTGAAGAATTGTATTACATAATTTAACATTTTTATTGTTTTAACAAATACTTTCTTGAGTGATAGGCACTGGCTTAGGGATCTCTATTGTGAATACAACCAAAGGAAAACCTGTTTGCCCTCCTCTCAGTGGAGCTTATAAGGAAGCCCTGTATTTAAAAAATAATTGATAAATAATCATTAGTTTGTGATAAGGAAATAGTGCTTAAACTTTTGGAGAAACTGGGGCAAGGAGGGGCTCTAGTTATGGAAATAATCTCTGGAAAAGACGTTTAAGCTGAAGTGAGAATTCTGAGTATCCAGGAAGGAGGAACATTCCAGAAGAAGATGATGTAATTTGATGACATTGAAGCAAGAAGAAACTTAGTTCATTTGAGCAAGGTAAGTGGGCAGGAGCAGAGGGTGACACAGAATGAGGACAGGAGGCCAGGTCTTGTAGAACACTTGAGAAAGTTTGCTGCTGATGGTAGGTGACAGGCCGCTGTGCCTCAGGGAGGCTTAACAAGCTCTGGCTTGTCCTCTACCCCTCACACCCTGTGATTTAGTCATACTGCTTTGCTCCATTTGTTTCAGGGATATTAAATGGGACACTAGCAAGTTGTTATAGTGTGAGCATCTCAAAATATTTAAGGTATAAGGAGTTTCTAATTGGCGATGTATTATTTTCAGTGATCTAAGTTTGTATATATCCTTCATCTGCTTTTTAAAGTCTATTTACAGCAAGGAATATTGTGTTGATGCTTGCTTAGATGCTTCTGCCTTAAGAATCTGTACTGCAACATCCTTAGGATGGAAATGCCCAGAATTTCTAAACTTCAGCATCTGTGTTCAACACCTGTGCTTTGTCCGAGCACTGACTGGCAGGAGAAAGTGCAGGGTCCCCATTTGAGGGCCTCCAAGTGCTGGCCCTCAGAGTACACACCCTCACACACCTGCAGAGAAGATTGTTCCAGAGTCCTAACTAGCTGGAAGGACTGAGTGCTAACAACATGAATAGTGAGGCGTGCTCATCTACTTTTTGGTAGGATAAGGACGCTAGCTGTGAAAATAAAATTCAGAGCCTCAAGTCCCAGATGTGACAAATATAACTTGGAGGCATAATTTAACATTACTTGCTTGTAAAGGGAAAAGACAGTTTTGTGAATTATCGCGAACTTTAATGTTTTCATTATACTTGGTATGCTCCATTATGTTTACTCTTGTATTACTTCCCCTTTTCCTCAAATAAAAGCATTTTATTATACAGTATAATACTTTGAGAAATAAAATGTGCAGAGATGTATTTTGGAAGGGCCCGTAACAAGCCCACAGGGGACATGAATGATATTATTTATATAAAGCAGAACTGGTAATTAATTACACAGTCTTTTCCTCAGTGCTTCTTAGAAACAATTTAGTGATTTTTTTTAGAAAGATGTGTACCCCCTTTTATTCTTGAATAGAAATGACTCAGGGTTTATCAAAAGGCTCATTTGCCTTAGAATCAGAGCCAAATTTGACGTCATCCTTGCCTAGATGCACTACCCTGTGGTATATTTACCTTTCCTCAGGATTTCTTTGTCCCTTGAGTCTTAGAACAGTTCCTTCAGAGTTTCTTCTGACAGCATGAAACTTGCACTTACCTCCTTAAACTGGTGTTTTGCTTAGTTTTCACTATTGATAACAGAAATCATAAGCACCTTATAATCTTTACTGGCACATATGTTTTATGTAATGAAATTTGTAGTGACTTCTTTCTAGCTCTCAAAGGTCATAATAAAACAGTCCCTTTATTCCTAGGTGGAGCAGCTTCATTACCTCTCCTTCATAAGGAGCCGATTTCTTTCTTAATTGACCTGGTCAAAAATGGTTTACTTTCATATAGCAAAATTCACTAATCTGAGTAGCCCATGCAAAGTGCTATGCAGAGTTGGGTTGTCTCCCCAGGCTTCGCAAATTTCCAAGGACTTAGGATACTGGGCAGGCTTCTGGGGTGAGCTTCTGGGAAGTGATTACAGCTCTTGTAATTTCCTAGCAATCAAGAGCGACACATGGAGGTTACCAAGATGTCATCATGGTGAATGTTTGGGTGACAATATAGACTTCTAAAAGATATTTTTTGACATACCATTTATAAAAAGATTTGTTTCCTTAAGAAGAAATGTATTTCTGTTTTGTCAAATTTTATTTACTATTGTTTCTATTTTAGGAAGTATAAATGTACTTTTGGGTTATCTAAACCAGAAATGACTTAGATATTTGTAAAACATATTTAAGTAAAATACACTTTGTCAGATTTCCCGAGTCATCTCTGTGTCTCCTTCCTCCTCCTCAGTTGTGGCCTTTAATAAATTGTGCAAAAGTCTAGAGATTACAACACTCCTGAGAGAGCACAGGGGCTGCTCTGAATCATCTTGTTTATTTTTCTCTGAATTACTATGCTTCTTTGTGCTCTTTTACATTTGAATTTTCTTGTTACTGTGTTTATGAAATTTTGATAGCATTTACACATTTGTGTGGTTTGTTTTCATGATGAAGTAGAGTTGATCTAATGCTAACACCTATGAAGATTTCCATTTCAAAAATGAGCACATAAGGAAATTAGCACTGCTTGCTTTCTTCAGAAAACTAATTGAAACTCATGAGTAACTGAATGTCATCGTATTGGATGTTCACATTTCATTAGCAAAAACTCAAAATTAGGCTGTAATTTAAAAAATTTTAAATAATTTTGTGTCATGGGTTTTATTTTTTAGAGCTAAGGACATCAGATTAAAATTAATCTGCCGTGCTCTGGGTAGAAATATATTATTAAACTACAAATAGAAATTTTTTTATATTTCAAAGAGAGAAATAAGTCACATTATTAAAAAAAAAACAAACCCTCTCCTTGCCTGAAATGTAAATTATGAATGCAAGACAATCACACAATGATTCTCGGTAAGCAATGTTTCAATTGTATTTACAATGTTACACACAAATGATTATGAAACCACTAAAATATGGGCAGTTTGAATACTGCTATCCTGTAGCAGAAATTCAGATGTGGTGGGTTGGGGATGTAGCTCAGTGGTAGAGTACTTGCCTCACATGAGTGAGGTTCAATTCCAGCACTGAAATTAAAAAAGTATTTAAATATGGGAGATCGAACAAGTCAAGTGGAAGTGTCCCTTTTACTGAGCTTTAACTAAGAATCCGAGCTTACGGGTCAAAGATCTCTTCCTCTCTCCTGGATATTATTTTTAAAACATGAGATCATGGAATTGCCTAATAGGAAATAAGTCATTCGTTACCTTTTAAGAGAAAACTATTAAGGCTACAATTACATATTTTCTCATTTTTTCCTTTGCTTCCTCCATTTGAGAAAGTACTGGGGATTCCCTATTGTGGGTGGCATGGTAACCAATGGGATGAAATCTAGGTGGCTTTCTTCTTCTCAAGGAAGATAGCAGGCAAATAGTTTGATTTTGCCATGACCAGCTGGTTTCTTAATGTCTCTAGTTTTACAATAAAATAATTGTTTTACTCAGCATTTTTCCTATCTGCCATTTTATATCTGTCCAGATAGATATAACACATCCTGAAAGCTATGTATTTTCCCTTACTTTTGAAAATGTAAGATTGTTTCAAAAGAGGACACCTCTTAGGTAAGGGTATGTTTTGTTAAGTAGTTTTCAACCCAAGAGTTAGTAGTAAGACACTTAATTCAGTCTGAACGTATTCCAGGACACAGTAATGAATTAACTGGAAGTCATGAAGATAAATGACTAGTATTATAAAGAACTAAACCTAAGGTCTGTCTTTCCATTTGAGATTTTATTCCCCTGCTACTAGACATAGAAATCCTAACTAGTCTGAGGCTATACCTCGGTATTATATTATGTGAAAAAGCAAAACACTCCGGGATCCTTTTTTTTCTTTTTTACATCTTATACTATTCAACATACAGTATTTAATATCAAGTAATAATTTTTAAGAGATTTTTAGTTTTGGTGGGTTTTTTTAGCTTTTTTGTTCTTTCTGATGTGTACACTGAATCTCATTAAATAAAGGCCAAGTGAGGAAAATATAGCTCTAAATTCTTATAATCATCTATTCTGTGCAGAGCAGCAGGAAAGAATGATGGGTCTTTTCAGTCCTAAGACTAAATGTCCCCCCAGTACCTTAACTTGACCTTCACTCCTCCCAGGAAAATGTCATTAGAACTATGGCAGCTGCTTTCCTCTAGGCAGAGACAGGTACAGCTAAGTTGAGACCATCTCACACTCAGCTTGTTGATTCTATAATTCCACCTAATTTTTCTAAACCATCAGCACTTTTAGTTAGCACAGCTGCCCTTCCTGTCCCTAAAGTATCTGCAGTCACACTGGCACCGTTTCCAATAAGAAGATTTAAGCTGAGGGATGACTCATTGCTGGTGACCAGTTTTATGAAGTACCTCCTTCTTTCTAGCTCCTGAGGTGCAAGAAGTTGCATTGTAGTGGAGACTTGGGTTCCCCAGGCCCATAGGCCTCATCACTATGCCCCAACCCCATACACTTGCTCCCCTCTTCCTTAGGATGAGGGCATTTGAAATTGACCTCTACCACCCATCCTCAAATATCAGCGTGGAT